GGGAAGTAAATCATCAAGCCTTTCTTCCAAGGTGACTCTGGGCAGATTCCAACCTCCAATCTTTCAGTTAGTGTTGTTGCTGTTAGGTGCCGTCTAATCAGTTCCAACTCATAGCAACCCTATGTACAACAGAACGACACACTGCCCAGTCCGGCGCCATCCTCACAATCATTGCTGTGGTTGAGACCATTGTTGCAGCCATTGTGTCAATGTATCTCATTACGGTTCTTCCTCTTGTAAGCTGACCCTCTACTTCAAGCATCAAGTCCTTCTACAGGGACTGTTCCCTCCTGATAACATGTCCAAAGTACATGAGTAGCAGTCTTGTCATCCTCCCTTCTAAGAAGCATTCTAGCTGTACTTCTTCCGAGACAGATTTGTACATTCTTCTGGCAGTCCATGGTATATTCAACATTCTTAGCCAACACCATAATTCAAAGGCATTAATTCTTTGGTCTTCCTTATTCATTGTCCAGCTCTGACATGCCGAGAGGCGACTGAAAATACCATGGTGTGTTAGTTATCTAGTGCTGCTATAACAGAAATAGCACAAATGGATGGTTTTAACAACGAGAAATTTATTCTCTCACAATCTAGTAGGCTAGAAGTCCAAATTTAGGGCACCGGCTCAAGGGGAAGGAGTTCTCTCTTAGTCGGCTCTGGGGGAAGGTCCTTGTCATCAATCTTTTCCGGGTCTAGGAGCTTCTCAGGCGCTCCTTTCTTGATGGTATGAGGTCCCCCTGTCTCTCTGCTCGCATCTCTTTTATTTCTCAAAAGAGATTGACTTAAAATACATTCTAATCTTGTAAATTGAGTCCTGCCTCATTAACATAACTGCCTCTAACCCTGTCTCAATAGCATCATAGAGGCAGGATTTACAACGCATAGGAAAATCATAACAGATGACAAAATGGTGGACAATGACACAATACTAGGAATCATGACCTAGCCAAGTTGACACACATTTTGGGGGGACACAAGTCAATCCATAACACATGGATTGGGTCAGGTGCACCTTAGTCCTCAAAGTGACATCTTTACTTTTTAACACTTGAAAGAGGTCTTTTGCAGCAGATTTGACCAACGCAATATGTCATTCTTCACGGCTGCTTCCATGGGTGCTGACTGTGGATCCAAGTAAAATGAAATCCTTGACAACTTCAAATTGTTTCTCCGTTTATCATGATGTTGCTTACTGATCGAGCTGTGAGGATCTTTGTTTTCTTTATGTTGAGGTGTAATCCATACTGAAGGCTGTATTCTTTGATCTTCATCAGTAAGTGCTTCATATCCTCTTCACCTTCAGCAGGCAAGGTTGTGCCATCTGCATACCACAGGTTATTCATGAGTCCTCCTCCAATCTTGATGCCACATTCCTCATATAGTCCAGCTTCTTGGATTATTTGCTCAGCACACCTATCGAACAACTTTGGTGAAAGGATACAACCCTGATGCATACACTTCCTGATTTTAAACCACTCAGTATCCCCTTATTCTGTTCAAATGACTGCCTCTTGGTCTATATACAGGTTCTGCGTGAGCACAATTAAGTGTTCTGAAATCCCCATTCTTTGCAATGTTATCCATAATTTGTTTATGATCCACACAGCTGAATGCTTTTGTACAGTCAATAAAACATAGGTAAACATCTTTCTGGGTTTTCTGCTTTCAGCCAAGGTCCATCTGACATTAGCAATGATACGCCTCATTGCACATCCTCTTTTGAATACAGCCTGAATTTCTGGCAGTTCCCTATAGATGTATTGCTACAACCTTTTTTAAATTATCTTCAGCAAAATTTTACTTGTGTTTGAGGTTAATGATATTGTTGGATAATTTCCACATTCTGTTGGATCACCTTTCTTTGGAATGGGCACAAATATGGATCTCTTCCAGTCAGTTGGCCAGGTAGCTGTCTTCCAAATTTCTCAGCATATATGAGAGAGATCTTCCACCATTGCATCTGTTTCATGCAACATCTCTGTTGGTACTCCATCAATTCCTGGAGCCTTGTTTTTCACCTATGCCTTCAGTGTAGCTTGGACTTCTTCCTTCAGTACCACTAGTTCTTAATCATATGCTACCTCCTGAAATGGTTGAACATTGACATTTTGTACAGTGACTCTGCATTCCTTCCATCTTCTTTTGATGTTTCCTGTGTCATTCAATATTTTGTCCATAGGATCCTTCCGTATGGCAACTCAAGGCTTGAAATTTTACTCAGTTCTTTCAGCTTGAGAAATGTCAAATGTGTTCCTCCCTTTTGGTTTTCTAACTCTGAGTCTTTGCATAATTCATTATAATATCTTGCTTTGTCTTCTCTAGCCACCCTTTGAAATCTTCTGTTCAGCAATTTTACTTCATCATTTTTTCTGTTCACTTAGCTACTTTACATGAAGTTTAAGAGCAAGTTTCAGAGTCTCATCTGACATCCATTTTGGTCTTTTCTCTCTTCTCTCTTTTTTTCAACTTGTACTTTCATATGAGCAATTGATGGTCTGTTTTGCAGCTGGCCCCTGGTCTTCTTCTGACTGATGATATTGAGCTTCTTCATTGTCTCTTTTCACAGATGTAGTCGATTTATTCCTGTGTATTCCATTTGGTGAGGTCCATGTGTATAGTCACCATTTATGTTGTTGAAAAAGGTATTTGCAATGAAGAAGTTGTTGGTCTTACAAAGTTCTGTCGTGTAATCTCTGGCACTGTTACATCACCAAGGCCATATTTTCCAACTACTGATCCTTCTTCTTTGTTTCCAACTTTTGCGTTCCAATCACCAGTAATTATCAATGCATTTTGATTGCATGTTCGAACAATTTCAGACTGCAGAAGTTGGTAAAAATCTTCAATTTCTTCATCTTTTCGGTTTTTTGCCAAGCACCTAACCTTTTGCCCCACCCAGGGACTTCATAAAATACTCTGGTGTAATTCTAATCAACTATCTATTCATTTATTCATTCCCTCCATCCATACATTCAATCATCTAACTTTCAGCCAAGATTTATGGAAGGCCTATTAGGGGCCAGCTCTAGAAGCTTATAGATTGCTAAGGGAAACAGAAAGGTAAACTGATAATTATAATACAATGATTGTAAGCCTTAATATAAAGATATGCTCAAGGGTTAACAGCAAAGCAGTAGTAGTATGGTAAAGAGAGATACAGGGGACATACCCATGCATAACAAGATTAAATAAGAAATGCTCTTTTCTAAACTTGATAATGCTTTAAATCAGATACGATAATTATCACTTCACAATAACCTGTAGACCTGAAAGTTTTAGACTGGTTTAGTTTTATATTTTAAAATGAAAAAAGTAAAAGTGAAAAAGCTGAAAAGTTTTAAACAGTATTTCTATATATAGACATACTATTTTGTAGAATAATTATATTACTAAAACATAATATTATAGACTGCTTTCTTCCCTTGGGAATTACCAGGATCTGCAGAATGCTGATTAATTTTTATTTAATATTTACTGAGCACTGTTAAAGTGCCAGACAATGTCAAAGGCATTTCTGCATTCATTATTTAATCTTCGACACAATCCTATGAGGTGAGAAATAATCCCACTTTATAGATGAGAACAATGAAACTAGGCAACTTGTTCAATGTCAACCAGTAAGTTGGAATCAAAATTTTAATGTAGGTCTTCTGACACTAATTTCAATGTTGTTTTCATTATACACAGTTGCAGAATGTAAAGATCAATGGAATAAATTAGTATAGCCATCTCTCTTATCAACTGATATTATTATTAATAACAAGTAGCACCATTTATTGAGAGCTTACTACATGCCCAGCATTGTGCTGGGTACTTTGTTCATATTATTTCATTTAATGTCCTCAATAAGCTCCTAAGTATTATCATCATCATTTTATAGATGAGGAAAAAAAAGGTTATTATAGAAGCTAAGTAATTTACTAATGTCAAACAGCTGTTTAAATGGGGTAGCTGTTTGGCTCCAAAGTCCCAATCCTTAACCATGACTTTATAATACTGCCACACTTTTTGTACTACTATAACAAGATTACTGAAAATATATTTACTGAGAATTATATATTTTAGAGTAGCTACATCCCAAAAACCTGGAAATTCAACATATATTTAAAATTAATATGCCAAAGTATACATTTCCTGAACTAAAGAAACAATTTTGTAAAAGTCTCCAAACATATTATTGGCTTACAAGATCTTTCCTTTGAATGAATGGCCAAAATAAACAATTTTTTAAAACTCATATCTAGAAAGCTAAAAATGGCCTTAATTTTTTTAATTTAATTTTATTGTACTTTAAATGAAAGTTTACAATTCAAGTTAGTCTCTCATACAAAAATTTATACATACATTGTTACGTGACCCTAATTGCTCTCTCTATACTGTGACAGCACACTCCTCCTTTCCACCAGATTTCCCATGTCCGTTCAACCAGCTCCCAACCCTCTCTGTCTTCTCATCTCACCTCTGGACAGGAGCTGCCCATTTAGTCTCATGTATCTACTTAAGAAGCACACTCTTCACGAGTATCATTTTATGTCACATAGTCCAGCCTAATCTTTGTCTGAAGAGTTTAAAAATGGACTTAAATTTTCAAAAACAGTATGGATGTAGAGAAAAAATGTTTGGGAGGAAATAAAAATTGATACATTTGCTTTTCTATTTTATATTTGCAGACTGCAACTATTTCTGTAACAACATTTAAGCATTTTCTTTTAAGAAACATTTTCCTACAAGCTTAAAAATTCATGTAGAATAAGAAAACTCATACAAACCCAATATCACTTACAACAAAATTGTGTTGTATACTTTGAAAATTACTGATTGATTACTTTTCACTTTCCTCTTCCATTATGCATATCAATATTCACAGCTATCTAGCCTAGATCACACACTGTTCCTAAATCTCTGAAAGTTTCGGTGTGTCCATAGAAATCAGTATAAAATTATAAAATGTAAACCTTGAAAAATATCTTTAAACAAGCAAGTAAAATAAGGCTTACCATTTTGATGCCTGTGGAAAACGTCACTGGTTTTATAGGTTTGGGTTTCTCAAGTTGCATTTCCAATTGAGTAGATCGATCTTTATGCTGAGCCAAAAGGAGAGCAACGGGTAGATCAGAACTCTCCTGTTAACAAGAATTAAAGTTGAATATGAACATTAAAAAAGGGAAAACTAAAAAGCAACAAGTCTTTTATTTTAAATTATGCTTTTTCCAGAAGCATTTGAAGTCAAACTGAACATTCACTTTAAGAACAATGCTTTACAGAAAATATTAACATTCCATAATAAGAAAAGGCTGTTGTAGACTCATAAATCAAAATAACCTGCAAACAAGTCTTTTTTATAAAATCCACATTAAAGACAATATAATAGGGTTCTATTTCATCTGGCAAAGCCAACCCAATTTATTAAAATAAAAAAAAAATTAGAAGCTAATCACAAAAAGAGTAGTACAAAAGTAGTATAACTTAGATCAGATGTTTATCTAAGACACATTCTTTTTACCAGTAAATTCAGACCAGTTTGAAATTGTTTCCCACTAGATTTCACCTGAGGCCATTTGGAAATTATCCTTGTTATATTTTGTACAATGGAACTATTGTAAGTACAACCGGAAGTATATTTATTTTCTCCTTTACTAACCTGTTTTTAGAAATTAAGTCCAAATTTTTTTAATTAAATAACAAAATGAGAGTTAAAATTTTTTTAAATCTTATACGGATATTAAATCAAGGCCACTATTTATACATATCTGCACACACACACACACATATTAATAACACAAGCAAATTACTGCCTGAATAATTCTTATGTACATGCTGTTATTTATCCTGTTTAACAATGAAGTCCTCTTACATGTTCAAAGTGCTGTGAAGCTAAAGTCTAAACCAAATGATATCCAGACATTTTCCATTTTGAATTATCAGTTAAGTAAGAACACAGAAACATACACAGAGGAGGCCAAAAGGGAAGGAGATCATATACGAACCGACACACACACACACACACACACACACACACACACACACACA